CCAGACGTTCCATGAACACCTTCCAAACCTTGGATGTGAACTGGGGACCTCAGATCAACACTATATCCTCTGGCACCCCGTAGTGCCGGAAGACGTAAGTAAACAGGGCTTCTGCAGTCTGCAGGGCCATGGAGAGACCGGGCAGAGGAAGGAAGCGGCAGGACTTGGAGAAGCGGTCCACAATGACCAGGATGGTGGTGTTACCTTGGGAGAGGGGAAGATCAGTTAGAAAATCAATACTAAGGTGAGACCATGGTCGTTGTGGAACTGGTAATGGTTGTTGCTTACCCACTGGGAGATGCCTAGGTGCCTTACTCTGGGCGCACACCGAGTAGGAGGAGACGTACACCCTCACGTCCTTAGCCAAGGTAGGCCACCAGTACTTTCCGCTCAAGCAGCGCACTGTACGGCCGATACCTGGGTGACCAGAGGAGGGTGACGTGTGTGCCCAGAAGATCAGATGATCACGGATAAGAGCAGGCACATACCGCAGCCCAGCTGGACACTGCGGTGGAGATGGATCTGTGCGTAATGCCTGCTCTATATCCGCGTCCATCGCCCATACTACCGGCGCCACAATGCAGGAGGCCGGGAGTATGGGGGTGTTGTCTCTGGGCCTCTCCTCTGTGTCATACAGCCGGGACAGTGCGTCTGCCTTCACGTTCTTCGTACCCGAAATGTATGATAATGTCAAATCAAACCGGGTGAAGAATAGGGCCCACCTGGCCTGGCGAGGATTCAGCCTCCTCGCTGCCCTTATGTACTCCAGGTTACGGTGGTCCGTCTAGACGAGGAAAGGGTGTTTCGCCCGTTCGAGCCAATGCCTCCACACGGTCAAGGCTCGGACAACAGCCAACAGCTCCCAATAACCAACGTCGTAGTTCTGCTCCGCCGGGCTGAACTTCTTAGAGAAGAAGGCACAGGGGCGGAGCTTGGGTGGCGTGCCCGAGCGTTGGGACAGGACAGCACTTATCCCTACCTCGGACGCATCCACCTCCACTATGAACGGTAGTGATGGATCTGGGTGGGCCAGTATCGGAGCTGAGGTGAACAGACCCCGCAGTCTCCTGAAGGCCAGGTCAGCCTCAGCAGACCAGCAGAGCCGGGACGGCCCACCCTTCAACAGGGATGTAATGGGAGCTGCCACCTTGCCAAAGCCTTGGATAAACCTCCGATAGTAGTTGGCAAAGCCAAGGAAGCGCTGCACCTCCTTCACTGTGGTTGGAGTCGGCCAATTACGCACGGCTGAAATGCGATCTCCCTCCATCTCCACACCTGAGGTGGTAATGCGGTATCCGAGGAAGGAGACGCTGGAAAAAACATACACTTCTCTGCCTTGGCATAAAGGTCATTTTCCAATAGTCGGGCCAGCACTTTGCGAACCAGGGAGAGATGCTTGGCGCAAGTAGCGGAATACACCAGGATGTCATCGATGTAGACCACCACACCGCGACCAAGCATGTCCCGAAACACCTCGTTCACAAAGGACTGGAAGACGGATGGAGCATTCATTAAACCGTAGGGCATCACCAGGTATTCATAATGCCCCGTGGTTGTGCTGAATGCTGTCTTCCACTCATCCCCCTCCCGAACACGCACCAGGTTGTATGCACTCCTGAGATCTAGCTTTGTGAAGAAGCGTGCCCCATGCATTGACTCAATCACTGAAGGAATGAGGAAAAGGATAACTAAATCTAATCGTCTCCTTGTTCAGTGACCGATAATAAATGCACAGGCGCAGAACGCCGTCATTCTTCTTCACAAAGAAGAAACTCGAGGAGGCGGGTGAAGTGGAGGGACTTATATACCCCTGGCCCAGGGACTCGGAGACGTATGTTTCCATAGCCTCCATTTCAGCCTGCGACAGGGGGTACACATGACTCCTGGGAGGTACAGCGCCTACCCGAAGGTCTATCGCGCAATCCCCCGCCCGATGAGGTGGTAATTTAGTTGCACGCGTCTTGGAAAACATGTGCGCCAAATCGAGGTATTCGGGGGGAATGCGCACGGTGGAGGTACCGTCTGGACTTTCCACCATGGTTGCACCAATGGAAACATCTAGACACCTACCCTGACACTCTCGCGACCACCCCGTGAGAGCCCTCTGCGGCCATGAGAAGGTGGGGTTGTAGAGTGCTAGCCAAGGGATACCTAATACCACAGGAGATTCAATAATTGAAAAAATTACCTGCTCACAATGAGTCTCCTGGGTGATCATGGTGACTGGTATCGTTACTTCCGTAACAAACCGCGACCCTATTGGTCGACTATCGAGTGCTCTGATGGGGAGTGGAATGGATAGGGGAACCAATATTATGCCTTGACGGTATTGGCACTGCCTTGGCACTGTCGCCACTCTGGTGGCACCCGAAAGAGGCTAGCGAACTCCCTGTAGTCCTCCAACGTGGCTCCTCCTTCGTTCCACACCGCGTTGGCCCACTCCAGGGCTTTCCCACAGAGGCAGGAAACGAGGACGGACGCCTTCTCCCGCTCTGATGGTTCCGGCCTGATGCTGGCGAGGTAAAGCTCCAATTGGAGAAGGAATCCCTGGCACAGCAATGTCGTCCCATCAAACGCCCGTGGTCGGGATATCTGGATCCCTCCGGGTGCTGGGGTGTAGGTGGCTGGATCCGGTTGGCCAGCTGGTCTTAACAGATCCATCGCTTCCCCCAAGCTGGCCAGCATCGTGGAATGCTCCTGGACCTGTGCCACGACTCCAGGCATGCGCTCTTCTCCCGCTGACTCCATATTCGGGTGGGTGATTCTGTGATGAGGTGATGATGATTGGGGCGGCAGTGGTTAGTACTCCGGTGACGACGAACGCCGAAGCCTGCCCGAACAAGGAGGGGAGTCGTGACAGTGTGTGTGTGTGTGTGTGCGTGTGTGCGTGTGTGCGTGAGAAGGAGAATTGGAGGGAGAAGACAGCAGGTCGTGAGGCTGGAGCAGGAATACGTTAGATAGTGCCCCACTGAGCTGAATTAATTGGGAATGGGCGTTATGAGGGATTAAATACCATGGAAACCTAAAACCACACTACTCCCCTTATAGTACTCTGCCTGTCAATCACAATGATAATTAAAGCTGCAGGCAGTGTTGCCGGGGTTCAAGCTGTGGGCCCACTGTGCCATCATCAGGACAAATTGGACACATCGCCCTAGGATGAGCTACTTCTGTACTCCTTACCACTCTTACCAAATATCAGAACTGAAAATCAACCAGATCATACTATATGCTGTTGATGAATTTTGGATTTTTTAAAAATGATATTTACTACTTTAAACTTCTTCTTCTCTAGAACCGCTGGAACGATCGGCATCAAATTTGGCACTTTTTTCCAAGAATCTAGCTGAAACAATATGGCCGCTATTTGCCAATGAACTTGCATTAATTGTTTTCCAACAGCACCATAATGTGGCCAAAGTCAACAACAGGTTAGCTAGACTCATATCCTTGAGCATGTGTGCCAAATTTCATCACTCTGAGTCAAACAAATCAAAAGATATAAAAAAAATTGCCCGTTATAGCTTCACTGAGTGGTCAATATGAATGTGCTTGCACATGTTGAACCTTCATACTTTTTTTCCATGTGAAGAGAGGGACCTATGGACAACATTTTATGACTATAGGTCACATGGAGTGCAGGGGCTGACCTTTCAAAGTTTGCCTTTTCAATCGCTTGCTATAGCGCCACCATGTGGCCAATTGGCATGGTATTGCATGAGAGAGTGTGGCCCTTGGGCCTTTAACATGTTGCTAAGTTGCACAGTCCTGGGCCTTTTCATCTCACGGCAGAAAAGGAACATAATAATAATAACAATAATGAACTGGAACAAGTACAATAGGGTTTCGCCAGCTTCGCTACTTGAACCCCTAATAATGAACTGGAACAAATACAATATGGTTTCATCCCGCTTCGCTACTTGAACCCTTAACAAAGCATGGCTGATTCATCTCTCCTGCACTACAGACACACACACATACATAGGCATAGTCATACACCGCATACTCACATACAGATACACAGGTGCACATAAACGCACACACACGCAAACACACACACAGAAACACATTGCTTTTCAGCCCAGATCACCGTGGGCTGTGTTCGTTCAGGCCACCCTGGTTGGCCAATGGCTCAGATTCAGATTGCCCTCTTCGCTCCATCTTATGTTACACACACGATGTGTGAGTGCCCTGGCTCCTGTTATTAACCGTGCCTATTCTGAAGGTGCTTTCCTCCCCTGGTCTTAAAGCTTTTGCTGACTCAATTAGCCAGTTCCTCATGTCAATGGCCCTGGGTCTGAAATTCCATTTGAGTAGGATGTGGAGCGCGTGTGTGTGAGTGTGTGTGTGCGTGCGTGCGTGTGCATGAGCTGCAATCCCATAGCTGCCGCCTGATTGTGTTAACACTTGCGTCTGGTGGTATCCTTGTACCTGCCTCCAAGGAGTATAATATGATCACTGACATTATACTCAAATACACACAGACACACACACACACACACACAACCACACACACATACACCACAAAAACACATATAAACCCCACACACACTTCTCTCTTTAGGCATCAGGCTCTTTTATAGGGAGAAGACCGCTATTCAGCTGCACTGATTCAACACACACTCACAGCTCCACCAGAACAGTTTTATGTAAACCTAGACTCGGTACAGCTGGGAGTCATTGTTATAGAATCTCTGCAGTGTCTGCATTGTCTAGCTAACAACTTGGAGCCGTGCCACATGGAGGAAGTATGAGTAGGCTAACCAACCTGCCCACCTGGTCTTGGATTTATCCTGTAGACCTCATTACCACTAGAGCATGTTTTTTCTGCATTAGGGAGGATCACCTATCAAAACATGAACTTGGTTGTTGTTCCATCAATTCCAACTTTGTGTGTGTGTGTGTGCGTGTGTGCGTGCGTGCATAGAATACCCAATACAACAACAGGTCACTGACAGGTACTCGCTCCCCCTCTCCCCCTCTCTGTCTCTCTGTCCAGGTATGACTATGTGGAGGTACGTGACGGCGTGGACGAGAGTGGGCAGCTGGTGGGGAAGTACTGTGGGAAGATCGCCCCATCACCCGTGGTGTCTTCTGGGTACCAGCTCTACATCAAGTTTGTGTCCGACTACGAGACCCATGGAGCAGGCTTCTCCATCCGCTACGAGATCTTCAAAACAGGTGAGAGGAGAAAGAGTGAATCACAAAAACACAATCACAAAATATCTTCACACGCACACACACACACACACACAAATACACACACAGCTTGGGAAGTTACACCAGTGAAGCGGGATGATATATGTTAGACCGAGACATCTAATCGTGAGTCTAATTAGTGTTAAGAACAGGATGTTTCTGCTTATTTCATGGTTTGTTTGTCATGTATTCATGCTGCTTAATGCATCAAGGTATTACATAGCTTTTCAATAAGGTTACACACAAACAGATCAATCCTTTTCCCCATATGTTCCGTAAACCATCTGTAACAACTGAATGTATTTATGGTACTTCTAAGACTGACTGTAGTTATAGACATATGATAATATCTGTTCATCCAGACAGAGAAATGTCCCCTTTCTCTGTTTATGTGATGCTACATTATCATGGTTAAGTGGAGAAAGTGAGTCACCAACGGTTTAAAGAACATGAATGAAGGAAGTGCTTTCTCCTCTTCCTGCTTCTGATAAGCTAAATTCATACTCATATATTCCATTGCGGTAGATAAGTGCTGCTCATGCAGACGATCAGATTAACTGATAACGTTGTCCAACCCTGAGAAGTTCCTTCCTCAACAATAAAATCTCACAAAGAAAGACCACAGACGTGTCCCTGCTGAAACGAGAACTCGCCAAGCAGCCCTATTTTCACAAATACACTCAGGGGATGTCCTTCTTCCTGATCTGAAGACAATACAATAAGAGGGAGAGCTTCCTGTTGTTGGCTTGACTTCCTGACTGTGTTTTGTGTTTATGGCTGCCATGGGACAGGGGTAGATTTCCATTGAGTGATTGGGAGAGGGGGAGGGAGGAGGACATAGACAGGTGCAACAGAGAGCAGACTCCACTCTGATTAATTAACCCTCAGCTAGTCTATGGGACGACCCAGTGACCCACAGAGAAGACGGATGCCCTCTTTTTAATCCCAGAAGTGTGTGTGTGTGTGTGTGTGTGTGTGTGTGTGTGTGTGTGTGTCTGAGGGGATGTCCCTTTGATCTGATGTAAATGTGTGTGCGCCCACACTCTGCCAGCTGCTTGACACACACATCTCCCCACACTTCAGTGAAGTGCAGCATTCCCTCTTGATGATGCAGTTAAAATGTGCACACCACATTCATCTCCTGATGAGGTATTTCCCAGTCTCATCCATTAAAAGGACTGATTATAAATTAGTTGTGTTACGGCCCCTGGGCTATGAGGGATTGGGGAAGAAGTACTGAATGCAGAGTGTTGAGATATGAAGAAATATGGATCTCCAGATGTGTTGTTAGTAAGAGGGGATGCACCAGGTGGGATGTTTTTTGCTCCAGGACCATCCCCTGTAGAGCTGGCACCATGGGTGTGTCGTGGGGCCGGGCCGGTTCTTCTGAAGCAGGCAGCAGAAGCTTGTTTAGCTTTGAAACCAGTGCTGTGTTTTGACTACAGCAGAGCTGGCTGCCGCCAAGGCGGTGGCTCTGAGATCAATTAAGGTTGTGTCCCAAATGACACCCTATTGCCTGTTTAGTGCAGTACTTTTGACTGGGGCCCATAGTGCTCTGGTCAAAAGTAGTGCACTATATAGGGAATAGGGTGCCATTTGGAACATAACCTAAGCCTCCCTCCTTTGGTGTAGAGAGCAGCTAGCTTGTTGATTAAGTAAGCTTATCAACACCAGGATGGGTATTAGGTGGATAGAATCAGCAGATTTGTTTTGGCTAATACATGTAAACTTAATGATGGTAAACACAGATGTTGAGATAGCGCTGGGGAAGTAATGCAAGGAATGCAGTGCATCTTAATGAGTCTGGATGGAAGAATGCTGTGTGTACAGTACGAGACTCGGGTTAGAGGGCAGCTTCAGGGAATGGAGCTGGGTTCTTTCAGAGGTAAATGAGGGTTCAAGGTCAGATGGGAAACAGGGTACACACACTATCTCTCTCTGTAATGAACCTGGAGAGCAGCCCTGGTTCTCATCAGCAGTGCAGCAGAGGAATGTCTAATTGGGAGAAAACAGGTTGTTTGTGGTCGTCCATCGGCTTTCACAACTCAAACACACATACACACACAGACACACATTGCTTTTTCAATCCAGGGATCTTAATTAGACCGGGCTATTTATTTTATGGGCAGCAAAATTGCCAGCCTCACTCCACTGACCGAACAGTAGGAGGGAGGGAGGGAGAGAGAGAGTGAATGATGAAAACAGAGACAGAGAGGGGTGAGGAGAGGAATAAAAGAGAGCTGAGAAAGGGGATAAGGCCAGCTTATGTTTATGGATACACTGAACTCAGCGGTAGATAGTCAGCTACGGGAAGAGAACACACTGTACCTGTGGTACTGCTGGTGTTGTCTAGTGCTGGAGTCCACTAAGGTCACTAATACAAATTGACCACTACCACCCATTTAGCCCAAATGGTCCCTAATGTCCGCCTCTCCGGATTTCAGAATACAAACAGGCAATCCTCTCTGACTAGAAGCCTCTATATTTATCCTCTAATCTTGTCTCACTTAAAGTCTTTCTCAACTGCGTCTCTTTCTCTCTGAAAAAAGTAATATGCTTCTGGTTAACAACTCTGCAATTTGTTACTCTTAGAGCCACATCAAGTCTGGTGCTGGAGGCAGAGAGAGAGAGAGGGAGGAGAGAGATTCAGGGATCATGCCACTGCATGATGGAGGGGAGAGAGGAGGTGAGGAGGGGGGGTCCTCTGCCCTACCCTGCCCTACCTTTAAGTGAAAAGCCCCATCATCGGCATTTCACCCACCAGAGCCGTTCATCATGTCGCGGCTATGCGGGCGCTTGTTACGAGGACACCTGTGTCAACACCCAGGAGGGGGGAGCGTGGTGGAGAAGGGGGGATGGGGGTGGAGGGGAGGGAAGGGGGAGACTGAGGCAGGGCACGTGAGCCGTTGGGCTTTCATCTGATGAGCGCTCTGATGGGCACAGGTCACATCTGGCACAGGCACTCACTGTCTGACGCGAGCGCACGCAAGCACACACACACACACACACACACACACACACACACAAACAGACACACAGCCAGCCCCCATGGAAACTTAAGACCCAAACTCTCTAAAGGCCACAGGGGGGCACGGGCCCCTCATTCATCCCCTCTCTCATACCTCACTGACAATACAGGGGGGAAATGATGTCATCAGCATGTTGAGTGTCAGTGTGTCAGAGCGACTGTGTGTGTGTGTGTGTGTGTGTGTGTGTGTGTGTGTGTGTGTGTGTGTGTGTGTGTGTGTGTGTGTGTGTGTGTGTGTGTGTGTGTGTGTGTGTGTGTGTGTGCGTGTGTTCGTGTTTTTGTATAAATGAATGACACATACCCCCAGCTGTGGCTTCAGGTTAATATTACATTATGTGTCCTGAGAGTTACCGGTAATTCTCCACTGCTCATTAACCCTTCTATCAGCCTAGCTACAGGGGAGGAAACGTCCATCCAGGATTAGCTAGTTACTAGACGGACTGGGCTAATTATCAACCAGACCGATACATGGAATATAAACTATAGGTATTTTCTCAGCAGTCTTAGAACAACACTTCAGGCCATTAAGGCCCCAGTCCCTAATAACGCTGACCACGGAGGGGGAAGGGAGGTGGGAAAGGAGGGGGAGGGATGGTGGGAAAGAGAGTCACCCAAGGATTAACAACACAGTCTTAAAGCAGCAGTCTGCTTTCACCATCTAAAAGAAACATTTGGAAATGTTAAATAGAAAAACCTAGCTTAACCCTGGTGCTTTGCTAAAAAAAAAAAAATGTCGGTGCATACTGTGTTTTTAAAAACTGTGTTTTTAAGGCTGCAGCTTGTCTCAACATCCCGTCATAAATTCTATAGTTTGTTTAAAGCTGCAATATGTAACCTTTTGGGCGACCCAACCAAAAGTCTAAGATGCGGTAGATCTGTTATATGTGCACTATTCCTATGCTTCCCGTTCTTAAGTTTTGTTTTTGCGTCTTTTACTTTCGGTTTTGTACACCAGCTTCAAACAGCTGAAAATACAACATATTTGGTTATGGAAAATATATTTCACAGCAGTTTAGATGATGCAATGATTCTCTACACAATGGCTGCTTGTTTTGTCACATAAACTGAAATGTGTGTGTGTGTGTGTGCGCGTGTGTGTGATGGCGGTGGACCGTGGTGGTAGAGGAGTGGGTGGTGATGGGATGCGCTCTACTGAGCTTCGCTCTGAGAAGTTTATTTGTTTCTCGGAGAAAAGCTCTGGCGTGTTTACAGGTCCTGTGCAACTTGTTTGCCATTTCAATTCTCTCCCTCTTCTCTGGTGAAATTGCCTCTACTGCTCGGCTCTTGGGGGTGATGCGATTCACCAACGTAACAAAAACAACAGCAGTAGTAAAACTAGAAAGAGACAGACAGGGGGTTGTGAGTTAGCGTGTGGTTAGCAAATGTCACATTATTTGCCTCCTGAAGCTGGTCACACACACAGTAAATAGTCAGATTGTAGCACATAAATACCATGCACACAACACAAAGCATTGTGGGTAGAGAGGTAGCTAGCGACGAGGGCCGGCGGGACTTCTGTGGCCCGAAGCCCTGTGGAGACGAAGATAATAAGAGATAAAAATACATCTATTGGCTGAATATCTCTTCAGGGGACAGACTGGACCTTTCCTTTATTCCATTTTATTCTGTTCTGATCTCTTTTCTCTGTGCCCGTTATCTTTTTACAGACACCCACACAAAGGCACACAATGGCCGCCAGTTTGCCCTTGCCTGTCCCTTTTTTCTCTGTGGCTGAATGAAACTAGAAAAGGGAGGGAGCCGGGATGGAGGTAGGTGGTGATAACATGTAATTATGGTACACAGAGAGAACATAGCGGAGACAGACATGCTCTCTTGTTACCCACGAGGCTAGCACTTTATCTTTTCTACTCACTTTGACTAGACGTTGATCCTGCTCTGAGATAGCCCTGCAGTCCTAGCGAGCGGCTAGCGCTGTCCTCTCCTTGCCTAGGCATTGGGAGCAAAGCCACACAGTCTGAAAGGATTTTATTTTTTATCTGAACGGATTTTCTTTCAATTCTGCACTTGTCAAACACCATGTGCGATAACAGCGTCAGACAGTGGCGACCAAATGGAAAGCTCCTCTTAGACAGCTACAGTCGGAAAGCCGTATCAAGCTGTTCTTTCTTTGACTTGTACACCCACTATGAACTCTGCAGTAGACTGTAGTCCAGTGCACTGAAGGGCACTTATTTAGGCCTCTCTACTTTAAAGCAAAGGAATTAATAAAATATAAATATATCGACGAGCAATGTCAGAGCGCCATAGACTAAGATACAGTAGAATAGCATAGAATACAGTATATACATATGAGATGAATAATGCAGCTATGTAAACATTATTAAAGTGACTAGTGTTCCATTTATTAAAGTGGCCAGTGATTTCTAATCTATGTATATAGGCAGCAGCCTCTAATGTGCTAGTGAAGGCTATTTAACAGTCTGATGGCCTTGAGATAGAAGCTGTTTTTCAGTCTCTCGGTCCTAGCTTGTACCTGTACTGACCTCGCCTTCTGGATGATAGCGGGGTGAACAGGCAGTGGCTTGGGTGATTGTTGTCCTTGATGATCTTTTTGGCCTTCCTGTGACATCGGGTGCTTTAGGTGTCCTGGAGGGCTGGTAGTTTGCCCCCGGGGATGCGTTGGGCATACCGCACCACCCTCTGGACAGCCCTGCGGTTGCGGGCGGTGCAGTTGCTGTACCAGGCGGTGATACAGCCCGACAGGATGCTCTCAATTGAGCATCTGTAAAAGTTTGTGAGTGTTTTAGGTGCCAAGCCACATTTCTTCAGCCTCCTGAGGTTGAAGAGGCTCTGTTGCGCCTTCTTCACCACACTGTCTGTGTGGGTGGACCATTTCAGTTTGTCAGTGATGTGTACGCCGAGGAACTTGAAGCTTTCCACCTTCTCCACTGCGGTCCCGTCGATGTGGATAGGGGGGTGCTCCTTCTGCTGTTTCCTGAAATCCATGATCATCTCCTTTGTTTTGTCTCAGGCTGTAGTCCCCACCTGCTTCAAGTAGACCACCATCATCCCAGTGCCCAAGAAAAACAAGGTGACATGGCCAAATGACTATTGCCCCCTCGCACTGTCAACGGTCATCATGAGGTGTTTTGACGAGTCAGCCTATAGGGTGGAGGTAAGTTAATTGGCATTGTGGTGCCAGGACAACAACCTCTCCCTCAACGTCAGAAAAACAAAGGAGTTGATTGTTGACTTCAGGAAAAACGGGAGGGAACCCTGCCCTGATCCACATCAACTGGACTGCAGTAGAGAGAGTCAGTCGTTTTAAGTTCCTCTGCGTCCACATCACTGAGGACTTGTCATGGACCAACAACGCCACCACTCTTGTCAAGAGGGCGCAAAAGTGTCTCTACTTCCTAAGGCGGCTGAAGAAATTTGGCATGCCACCCCGAGTCCTCTCCAAATACTACTGCTGCACCATCGAGAGCGTCCTGGCCGGTTGCATCACGGCCTGGTGCAGAAGTTGCTCCATCCACGACCGCAAGGCCCTCCAGCGGGTGGTGAAGACGGCCCAGTACATCACTGGGACCGTGTTCCCACCCATCCAGACAATCTAGTCAAAACGGTGCCTGAGGAAGGCCCGCAGCAGCATCAAGTACCCCACACACCCCAGCCACGAGCTGTTCACTCCCTTATCGTCGGGCAGACGTATCGGAGCATGAGGTCTGATACCAACAGTCTCAGAGACTATTTATATCTACAAGCCATCAGACTGCTGAACACTTGAACTGGACTGACCACCTGCACTGACTCTCCGCACCTTAGCACACATGCATTCACTCACACACGCACGCACACACCTATACAGACATACACTCATCCACACACACACACTCACACACAGAGCCAGTTAGAGACAGTTTGCACTGTTCTGTGAAGGGAGTAGTACACAGCGTTGTACGAGATCTTCAGTTTCTTGACAATTTCTCGCATGGAATAGCCATTTCTCAGAACAAGAATAGACTGACGAGTTTCAGAAGAAAGTTCTTTGTTTCTGGTCATTTTGATCCTGTAATCGAACCCACAATTGCTGATGCTCCAGATACTCAACTAGTCTCAAGAAGGCCAGTTTTATTGCTTCTTTAATCAGCTCAACAGTTTTCAGCTGTGCTAACATAATTGCAAAAGGGTTTTCTAATGATCAATTAGCCTTTTCAAATGATAAACTTGGATTAGAAAACACAACATGCCATTGGAACACAGGACTGATGGTTGCTGATAAAGGGCCTCTGTACGGCTATGTAGATATTCCATTAAAAATCTGCCGTTTCCAGCTACAATAGCCATTTACAACATTAACAATGTCTACACTGTATTTCTTATCAATTTGATGTTAATTTAATGGACAAAAAAATGGCTTTTCTTTCGAAAACAAGGAAAATTCTAAGTGACCCTAAACTTTTGAACGGTAGTGTATATATTCATGCTACACCACATCACAACTGCTGCTACCAGACTCTTATTATTATTGCTAAATACTACACAATTTAAACACTTGCCCTCCAGTCCCCCCTTCCACAAAACGTGTAAATAGTGGACTATAAATTTAGCCTTTCTATATTATACTTATTCTAAAATGTTTATTTTATTGTACTGAGCCATTTACTTTATGTTTGTATTCTTATCTTTTATTATTTATTTTATTATTTATTATTGAAACTTGAACTTGAAACACACACACACACACCTCTGTGCCCCTGAACCTCCCTCTGATCCCAAACTCAGTCATCCCTGGGATCAGTCTGTGGAGGCCCACAGAGTTCTGGACAATCACATCCCTGGCCCTGATATTTTAGAAAAGTATTTCTGGTCTCTACGGTTTTTCAAACAGGAAAAAGGAGGAAAACTGCAGAATTAATGGCCAGACCCGCTGTTTTGGAATCTTTAGCTTTCAGAGCAGCACTAAATGTAAACTCGCCTTACAGTCAAACTGAACTGGTGTTCCTGTCTTGCCTTACAGCCCCCCCCCCCCCCCCCCCCCAAAAAAAGAAAGAAAATAAGTAAGCCACTCTCATTTCCAACGTGTGCTGTGTAAAGTGACGAATGTGTGAAATCTGCTCACTTCCCTAATCAGCTGAAGGCCTCTTCTCCAGGGAGCCATGAGTAAATGTTTTGACTTGCTGTTATAAAACATAAAACTGGCAAGTGTGTGTGTGTGTGGTGTTTGTGTCTGTGTGTGCATGAGTGATTGTGTGTGTGTGAGTGTGTGCATGCTTGTGTGTATGTGTGTGTAAGCACTTATCATATGTTGCACAGACGCGTAATGACGTGGCTGTGGGGGGGGGGGTTGTGTGTGTGTCGGGGGACATGTTTATTCAGTCCCGTGCTGGTGATTGAGGCCTTTCACTGATGTTTACAATCACTCTGGCCAGATGTTACAGCATCAACAACAGATTCAACACACACACACACAGAGGAATACAGAACTGCGAAGTCAACGACTGACAAAGAATAAGAAGATGACAGTCAGAGAGAGAGAGAGAGCAAAGGATGGTGTGAATTGTGTATCAGCAGCCCATTGAATGAATGCAACAGATTCAAGGTGGTCTCCCTCTCAGGGCTATAAAGCACTGTCTTAAAGTGCCAGCTGGCTCACAGAGCTTCTCCATCACAAACCATCACAAAGCACAAAGGAACAGGCAAACAAACAAACCGTAAAACAAGACACTCAAAAGTATCACCTACTTTCATCTCTTTCGCTCTCTCCTCTCTCCTCTCTTCTTTCTTTCTTTCTTTCTTTCTTTCTTTCTTTCTTTCTTTCTTTCTTTCTTTCTTTCTTTCTTTCCTTTCCTTCTTTCCTTTCTTTCTTCTTTCTTTCTTTCTTTCTTTCTTTCCTTCTTTCTTTCTTTGCTTTCTTTCCTTTCTTTCTTTCTTTCCTTCTTTCTTTCTTTCTTTCTTCTTCTTTTCTTTCTTTCTTCTTTCTTCTCTTCTTTCTTTCTTTCTTTCTTTCTTTCTTTCTTTCTTTCTTTTCTTCTTCTTTCTTTCTTTCTTTCTCTTCTTCTCTCTATCTTCCTCTTTATTTCTCTCGACTATATCTTTCTCTCCCATCTGGGCACAGACGTCAATTCAACGTCCATTCCACATTGGTTCAACATAATTTCATTGAAATGACGTGGAAACAGCATTCATTCAATCAGTGTGTGCCCAGTGGGTCTTCTCCTGTCTCACTTGCAGAAGAGATGTCAATCTCAATGCGACTTCCCTGGTTTAATAAAGGATAAATAAACTAGAAATCTCTCTTTTCCTCTCCTCCTCTCAGGTCCGGAATGTTCCAGGAACTTCACGTCTAAAAACAATGGGGTAATAAAGTCACCTGGTTTTCCAGAGAAGTATCCCAACAACCTAGACTGCACCTTCATGATCTTTGCCCCCAAGATGTCCGAGATCATCCTGGAGTTCGAGAGCTTCGAGCTGGAGCCTGACACCACTCCTCCCACCGGGGTCTTCTGTCGATACGATAGGCTGGAGATCTGGGACGGCTTCCCTGGAGGTGAGTGACAGTCATATATCTAGTCAGATATAGCTAGTATTTTTGTTAGCGTTCTCAGTATTATACAGTTTTGTAATATTAACACACTCAATAAATATGAATAGGGCGATGACTGTGGACAGGACACGTAGCCTAGTTGTCATAACTCAATGCTAAAAATGTCCTAATTATGATAGTCTACAATACTCCCTTCCTCCCCTTACAGACATGTATTGTGTTTGTGGAGTTGTTTATGTTTGTCAGTTGGGAGGAGGCCATGGTATGTAGACAGGGGTGGTACTCCACCATACTGTTGATCGATCGGTCAGGAGAGGACTTTTCTGTCCAGAAACAACCTAACCCTTTTGTCTGGGTTTGGGTTTTAGCTGTTGTTTCTTCTAGAAGTTAAACTGGCTTGTAACAGTGCCAGACTTGACTCAGGTATTTAATATAAAAGTGTTGCAGGGTTTTCCAGAACCTGTTTATATATTTTCTTCAAAGGTGGGAGGTTTATAATTTCTCTAAAACGAACAGTGTTGATTAAACAAGCTGTGAAGACGTTGAGGGCTCAGTCTTTCACGTTATTATCACCTTTATTTTCGCCACTCAGTGAAATGCATTCAGAAAACTGACATCTGTGATCGACAATGGAGACTTTTACCATGAGACTAACTGTCTTAGGAACACACGTTTATTCTGAGTATGAAATTCTGAAACTTTTACTTTACAACACTCTTAGACTAAGGGTTCATCTTCTTATCTAAGAACATATCATGTTTCAAATAGCCACCAACAGCAGAGTGTCTCCTCTTTTGTCTTTGTGGGGTCTAGAAATGGGGAAAATAACAAAATAACACTCTTCTCACATCCAGAGTAATTGAGTGTGTGAGACAGTGGGGCCTGGAACATGGGAGGTGAGTTAGAGGTGGAAGGCCATGGGGGAGACAGGGGAGACATAGAGGGGAGGCTGGGGGCCATGTTGTGTGTCGGGCCATGTCTGATGAGGGCTGGGCACAGTACCTGTGGTCCCTTTTGGATCAATAGTGCATTAGCACGAAAGGCTGGAGGTGTGCTCGCCACGGGTGGCGATGAGGGGGTAAGACGGGGGGCGGTGAGGGTGAGGACTCCCATGTAGCGCCTGTGGAGTCGCGCCTCCCTCCCTCCCTCTCTCCTTCTCCCTCCTTCGCTCCCTCCTCCCTTTCTCCCACGTCTCAGGCAGACTGAGACGGGTAGAGAGAGTGTGGTTGTGGCACCCTCCCCATCCTCTCTCCTTCTACCCTCCTCTTGCCTCCCCCAGGACCATAGAGACCTCCTGCAGAGACACAGAGTTCACAACAGAGCCTTTTACATTTGCATAGCGCCATTGAGTCATGCAGATAATCTAGGAGATGGCTAATCCTAACCCTCCTGTGTTATGATGATGAATCTGAGCCATCAGGTCCCCACCCAGGCTAACCCCTCTCTCCCTTTCATCTGTGTGTCTAGTTGTAATGCCAAGCTGTAAGTGACATGTCAGAGTGAGGGGATGTGAGAGGTTTAGAGGGGAGCAGGGCAGCAGCCTGGCTGTCACTTGCCACTGATCACAGGCTTACTAATCATTGATAAGCACCAGGCCTCCAGACCTGCTTAACATCTAGACAGAGGAACACACACACAGGCAGGCAGGCACACACACACACACACACACACACACACACACACAGACAGCCATGTAAGAAAGCAAGCAAGCAGGCACACACACATACACACACACACACACTCATAGATACAATATGGTATCAGCTCCTGGGTTCACTTTTATTGCCCTCTTTTCTTTTGACATTCCCTTGTTTTTCCCCTTATCTCTGTTTGTTTAGTCTTAGTGGCCAGATCATACCCACCTCAGCACTATACCATCACATTAAAAAAGGCCCAGGAATGTATGACTGGTATAAAACAGACAGAAACCTCGACTTTGCCTTGTCTTAAGCAGGAGTCCCTGTTGTTCTTCATCTTCTCTCTCTCTCTCTCTCTCTCTCTCTCTCTCTCTCTCTCTCTCTCTCTCTCTCTCTCGCTCTCGCTCTCGCTCTCGCTCTCTCTCTCTCTCTCTCTCTCTCTCTATATGTGTGTCTGTTTTGTGGGCATATGGGGGGGGGTTTACCTCCATGGGGGTGGGGGGTTGTGTTTACTGTGTATAAACACCCATGTGACAGACCTACGGCAAGCAAATACTGACTTAACTCTTAACTCTACACACACTCCCATCTTCAGTTGTAACCTTGGTAACTGATGATCTCTCTCGCTCTCCCCCTCTCTCTCCACCCCCTCACTCTCTCTCTATTTCTATCTCTCACTCTCCTTCCCTCTCTTTCTTCCCATCGCCTCTCTCTTCCTCTCCTCCCCTCTCTCTATCTACCGCTCCGTCTGTTCCCCCCCCTCTGCAGTTGGTCCGTACATTGGACGGTACTGTGGTCAGAACACCCCGGGTCGTATCATCTCCTACACGGGCATCTTGGCACTGACAATCAACACCGATAGCGCCATCGCCAAGGAGGGCTTCTCTGCCAACTTCACTGTGTTGGAGCGGACTGTGCCAGAGGGTGAGTGTTGTTCATCATTGATTGGCAAACTGGACCAGAGAAACAATCTAGAGGGAATTCATGCTACTGAGCCAAATCTGCAGTGTTGGATCTTATTTTGACGAGTATTGTCGCAGCTGAATAATCCTGCAGCAAAAGGATTTGAACGTTTAGTCCATAGTGTTGCTTGATCAATGTTTGGGCTATTAGCTGGCCAAAATTAGGCTACATGAAAAATGCAATACTGTTAATATAGCCATGTGTTAGTGCGGGTTTTCAGTGAATTTATGTAAATCATGAAGCTCATCTGCATTTCCTGCTGTGCGGGGAAATTCTCAGCAACAAAAGAGTGATCAAATTAAGATCTTACATCTGTAGCCAAACCAAGCTGGATTTAGCTGGCCTGATTACGCATCCACCACATTTGCTGGAACCATACTGAAAGAGACAATGTGAAAATAAAATATCAGAATAAGGAAAGTTTGGTTTGGGTCAATACGATAGCGTCATACATGCCTTCATACATACAAGGGGTGGTCCCTGTCCCACTGCTATACACATTTACTTTAATGTGGCACTAAAGGGAGTTATTAAATCAACAGCTCCCGGTCTTTTCATTAAGTGGATGTGTTACAAGGCACGTGCCATCTCCCCCAGTTTATGAGGCCTAACTTTAACACAGCAGTGGTAGAGACACTGTGGGGCGGACAGACAGCCTCTCCAGACAGACAGTGTCCCAGCTCCCAGCCTCTAACACAGCATGATCATCGTCCTAGGGCCTGGCCCCCATGACCACAATTTGAGAAATGCTCCGACTAAACATTTCACTTGCGAAACACAACCACCTTGAAGCCAGTAAATCTTTCCACAGACTCACCCAGTCAACCCCCCCCACCCACCCCCCACCCCCGTCGGGTTATTATGGCGAGGGCTGGTGTTAAATAAAACACTATTCATCCCAGATGGTTCTATGTCCCCCGTGGGGAGTAGTGATATGCATGTATGCATAGGCCCCTAGATAGACTCACACAGAGCCTGAGCACAGTCACATACAGTGATGACTGCCCGTGTCACTAGTCTCTATAGTCCCAACAGCTCAGTACCACGGCAACATAAACATAACATAATCTCTCACTGAACACTAAGCCCCAATATTACATGTATTTGATAGGGACACATACAATCAAAAGACTAAACTCATCAAGTCACTGCATTATTTGACGTCTGTCCTACTATTTATGCATTCGGCTGCTAACAACCTGGCTGAATGAATCCTCAGAGAGTAGACAGATCCAGTCCATCACAGTTTCTATCCACTGTGGTTTAGACTTGTACTCTTAGTTATTTATTAATAAGCCCTTAGATGTATAATCCATGGCTTTTCCTTTTTACCCCTACATAATGTAATACTTGTACACTTTAGCTGAGAGGGGGTGATGTAGGGGTGATAAGGTGTTGCTTTGATGGTGATAAAGCAGGCTTGCCTTCTCTCTTCTCTCCCTGACAGCCCTGCTAGGGTGTCCCACTTGGCACCCTATTCTCTTTATAGTGCACTCCTTTTGAGAAGGGCCCATAGGGCACTGGTCAAAAGTAATGCACTATAAAGGAATAGGGTGCCATTTAGAACGCATCCATACTATCTTCCTGATCACCCTCCACCACACTTCACAGAGTGTGCTGCTTAAAACGCAGGCTAATAGCTGATAGCAACACACATGAGTACATCTACACGTCAGGCTGCAAACTAGAGGCTCTTTGTTTACAATCAGAGGGAATATACATAAAAGAATCTGGGTCTGGTTGATGTTTATGGAGAGATTCAGATTCCTCCTTCCAGAGTTTGAGAAGAAGAAGAAGAAGAAGAAGAAGAAGAAGAAGAAGAAGAAGAAGAAGAAGAAGAAGAAGAAGAAGAAGAAGAAGAAGAAGAAGAAGAAGAAGAAGAAGAAGAAGAAGAAGAAGAAGAAGAAGAAGAAGAAGAAGAAGAAGAAGAAGAAGAAGAAGAAGAAGAAAAGAGGGGGTATTTAAGAAAGAAGAAGATGAGAGTTGAGGGAGTGTGAAACGGTTTTCTCTTTTTTACCTTTCTTTCTTTTGCTTTCTCTCTCTGCTGTAGTGTGTATAGTATAGGGTGTGCAGCAGTCAAGGACTGTCTATGAGCTAATACAGATGGTCTCTCCATCTGCTTGAAGCTGCACAGCGCTGGTATACGCAATGTGCCTGCCTGAATGTGAGTGTGTGCTTGTGCACCTGCCTTCATGTCTGTGTGTGTGTGTGTGTGTGTGTGTGTGTTACATATAGGGCTCTGGAGAATGATGTAGTATGGAGAGAGGAAGAGATCACCTCTTGACCTGGCCGGTAGTTGTATACTTAAACACATTCACTCAGACACCCACACACACACAAACAAACACACACACACACTCACTCAGGCTGACCCTGGCCGACTGCACCATATCAACACAAACAAGGAGATGCCCTCTATCCTGTGTGGTACAGGCATTCTGGGAGAATTTACAGCCCAGAACACTGACACTAAATATGCCTTAAAATCCCGTGGGACAACAATATTAGGAAATGTGCACCATGTGTGAAACACAAACTGCCTACAGCGAGCTTTGAAGGAGGGATGAACCAGCACCAACTCCAATGAAAACCTACTGGCTCTACTTTCATGCATAATAGTTTCCCTTTTTTCAAACAAGTGTACAGTGAACTTAGCCCTACACTGAATGTTTTATGAATAAAGCTTTATGTCTTGTTGTAGCACCATAGTTCCACTGTGCTTGCCTTCCATTAATGCCTTTGTGTGTGGTGGGGGAGAGAGAGGGAGTGGAAGCGGGGATCCACTGAGGCAGCGCTGATGTGGCTCTTTATTCCGGCCACCAGAGTGCCAGCCCGGACCCTGCCACTGAGTGTCCCTATCCCCAGGGAGTTGATGTGTACTCTGGCCTGGGACACCTGGATGGTGCTTTCAGCAAAAAAAATTGACTAAAGTGTCTCAACAATCTCTCTCTCTCTCTCTCTCTCAGATTTTGACTGTACAGACCCGTTAGGTATGGAATCGGGGGAGATAGCATCAGAGCAGATTGTAGCTTCTTCTCAGTACAACCCAGGCTGGTCCCCGGAGCGAGCCAGACTCAACTACTATGAGAACGCATGGACACCAGGAGAGGACAACAACAAAGAGTGGATACAGGTATGGTCTGCACCATAACCTCAAAGCAATATATAATATATGCTATTTCGCAGATGCTTTTATCCCAAGAGACTTACTATCAGTACATCAGTGAGTGCATACATATTTGTATGGATGGCCCCAGCAGGATTCAAAGCCACAATCTTAAAGTTTCTAGCGCCATGCTCTACCAATTGAGCCACATGGGACTACCATAAAATGTCACAGACTGTCACAGAGATGGCTAATGTCTTATCATAAATACATTTGAAGAATGGGTGTGTTTATGGCTGAAAAAAGGCCATATACCCTATAAGCAATACTGTAACTTCTTGAAAAGTTCTCCAAAGTCATTGACCCAAAGCTGTTTGGAGACAAAACAACAACAGGCTTTTTGACTGTGTTATTGAAGCTGAATGACCTACTTTTGAACATTTCCCGCATAAACCTCTGGTCAAAAGTAGTGCATAACATAGGGAATGGGTTAATAAGTAGTGCCATGGGCCCTGGTCAAAGTTAGTGTACTACATAGAGAATAGGGTCAAAAGTAGTGCACTACAGAGGGAATAGGGTGCCATTTCAGACTCAGACTTGTGACTACAGTAGAGGTGACTCCTTCCTACTTTCTAGTTCCTGGTCCAATTCCAGGAGTCTGTCTGTTCACTGTGTCCTCTGTGGACACCCCTGTGCCATGCTGGGTAAATCCTTTAAGGTGATCCAGAAATCTGATGATTACTTTCTGCTTCCTGTCTGATGAAACTCCAGGCTAGCTGTGGATTCCAGACACTCCACAAAGCTCTCTGTCTCTCTCTTTCTCTCTCTCTCTGTGGTTCTCTTCCTCTCCTACCTGATAATCGCTGGCATCCTGTTATCCGCTGTGGTGACTGCCCCAGGGGACATATCCACCCCATCCACACACACACACACACATAACTTTGTTATCATAGGGTATTGCTATACTGTAAACTAGAGTATGCGTTTTAGGACATCTGGCATTATCATTCACAGAAAGGGAACTTTATATGAAAAGACTGGAGCTCTGAGTTTCTGATCCCAAAGGCATGACTATGTCACATACACTGGAACCTGTTACTGTGTTGACATGACAACCTTTCTTGACCCAACCATACACTAATACCTATACATAGTTCTGAGCATGTTTGATTTAGTAACCCAAAAGCCTCCAGGCCTTGTAAATGCTCAGACGTATTTTTCCATATTTGTTTTTTTTATTAGGCCTACAATCCATCCCCACGTCGCTTAAAAGTTTAAAGTTTGGCCCGACCATACGTATATAATCCTCAGGGGGCTTATAATAGATCTGACCTGCAGCCAAATATTCACATGGGGAGGTCCATAATCAAGGTTTTCCTTATTGTTATGAAAATATTGTCCTGAGGGCCCCTGTTGCTCCTTGCAGACTAATTGAATCAGAGGCGGGGGAGTGTGTATTTGTGTGTGTGTGTTTTGCATGCATGTGTGTGTGTGTGTGTGTGTGTGTGTGTATGTGTGTGTGGAGGGGGCTCTTGGCTCTGTGCTCTGTGGGTGAGTGAGAGGAGGGCCCAGGGCCTGGCTGGGCCTGGCGGGGGCCCATTGTACTGGAGAGGAACCCATGTGTGTGTGTGTCCCAAATAGCAGCCTATTCCCTATAAAGTGCACTACTTTCAACCAGGGCCCATAGGGCTCTGGTCTAAAGTAGTGCATTATATAGGGAATAGGTTGCCATTTGGGACACAGACACACACTGCCCTCCCATCCCGTCCCAGACTACTTCCTGAAGCAGTTCCTCTATAGGAGAGGGGACGGACGGTTAAAGTTGTGTAACACTGATAGTCTCTCAGAGGGGAAATTCCACACTTAAGCCCTAAGATGCATTAGTAGGTCAGTGGGACAGAGACGAGGTTACTGATCGACAGAACACACATTCATACTGTAGACAGGCACATATCCATTGTCATAGGTCCTATCATGTCTGGAATAACCTGTGAGTTTGACCAGAGAGTTAAGGTGTCCACTTGCTTCCCATCCGAAACAGTTCGGAACAGTGTGCATCTATTATGACGACATTTTGTGATGTTTTGTTTGTTTTGCTCTTTGGCAAGGTTTCTTTCGGCTGTTCGTGCACAACAAAAAAAATATTGAGGCAAGCTGAAGTTCGGGACCCGAAGTCTACGTACCTTCATCGGTCATTGATCAACAGTAGGGAAGTGTTTGTTGTCATTCAACGATAGATTACTTGTTTTCATGCAAAACAATGTACTTGCAAGATACTGCACCAAACATCTTAGTTAGATGTAAAGTTGCGCGACTAAGATCCCTTGGCAAAAACTTCAAAATTAATGACTGATATCTTGAGTTATCTGACCATTTTGAGGAAGTGTATACTGTCTACGACGTCTCAAGATGGACAAACAGTGCTAATGCTGCTTTTTCTCATTTTTCAAGCAACGTTCTATTAAGGGAGTATGCGAACACACTCATTTGGTTCGCCTAGCCGAGTTCTGAAGCATGCAGAAGCCTTTATGAACATAGAGATCATATGGCTTAGTTTCATCAACAATCAACAATCAAGAAGCAATAATAACTTGTAAGTGGAAGGATAGGCAGTTTATAAGACATACTGTAGATACTATGGTCTTTTTCTTTTCCAGTGATGCTAGATGCAGTATTATCTGTCCTGAGAGACTTTAATTCTGTGAAAATCTGTTTAGAATGACTATTTTTGCTAATGAGGAGTTATTTAAAACCAGCCCTTTAAAACCAAGTGGGCCGTTCTGTTCTGCTCTGTTCTGTTCTGCACTGCTTAACAGTTGCCACTTCATATACTACTCCCAATAATTAAGTAGACTTCATAGACTTTCTCTCCTAACTCTGCTAGTCATTTCAGATTGTAATTAAACTCTAAATGGTCTCTCTCCCGCTGTGCTGATGCCAGAGCAGTAGAACAACGATTCTGGAACAGTTCAGAATGCTCAATATAGTATTGATTAGTCTGAGGTTTTCTTATTTATTTATTTCATTTTATTTAGCAGTAAAATACAAACTGGATAAAAAGGGGATATGCTCTGTTGGGTGCTCCAATTCCCTCCTCAGCCAATCAAATGACAAAGAAGTCGAAGCCTGGCACATCTGTTTCTAGGGTAACAAAGAGTGAATTCCGTGGTTGGTATGGTGTGTAATTTATAATTTCATGAAATCTTTGCTGCTGCACTTATGCCCTCCCTGCGCTCATGAAGAGAGAGGTTTAATTATAGCAAGTGTTATTAAAAGAGTGGAATTCTTCATTTCATTAAGCCTGTCGGAGGGAGGGAGCAGCAGCAGCAACAACAATCTCTACCCATCATTAATGGCAGGTGCCCTCAAAGCACCAGGGCACAAATTTTACAAAAAGTGACATTAGCTGTTGAAGATTATCTCATAGAACAAAATGTATAAGGTCTCTTAAGCCTGTGTTTACCAGTGTTTGGTAACTTGGTCATTTTGTCTTTGATTGACATGCTTCAGCTATATTTCAGGATGAAAATGTTTAAGTATTTTCGGCATTTATCCAAAAACCATCCAAAAAAAACATTTGTTTCCCCATAGGCTTTGGCCAACGGCCATGGCCGAGTTAGTGCCTACAAAAAGACGGCATTACTATTGCTCTCTATAAGGCTAGTGTGTGTGTGTGTGTTTGTGTGTGTGTGCATGCGGATGGATGGACTGACAGGCATCCTTTGAGCTTTCTTACATTAACGAGGAAAAAATAGAATAATCCAGATTCCCTATTCCCTTGACATGTCAGACACATCAAGGGCTCCCTGCAACGACTCAAGTGCTGTTGTCAACAGGGGGAGTGGGTAGTGGTTCT